TCAAGCCGAATCGAAATTCGCATTGGGAAATACCTGACGGTGGCAAATATATACGTTCGGTGGACAAACAATGCGAAATAATTAAAAATCCGATGGTCCGAAAAGCACACGATATCATTATCCTACGGATCGCCATGGCGAAAGACCGCTCTGGATGTGGGTATTAACATAACTTTAATTTTATTATTGCTCAGATAAATTTGTTCGCCAGCGAAATGATTGATTAACGCTTAATATGCATGGTTGATTTTACATTCGATTTTCCATTTGGCTTTTCAATAAATGCGGGTTTTTCTTTAAGTATTCTTAATTATTTTAATGTATATTGAATATCAGTTGGGACTTCACATCCTTTAGCTTTCGGTTTGACTGCATTTTATACGCAAACTTTTGTTCGACTAACGCACAGAACTTTTCCTGGCACTTTGCTGCTTTGTTTGTTGGCAACAAAGGTAACCCTCGAAGCTCCAGCTGATTTGGTCCAAAACTAACCAGACCTGACAGCTTCTGGCCAATCCCCGATGTAAATTCTCGCGCCGTCATCTGTCACAGCCATTGGGTGTGTGGCCTGTGATGCTGGCATACTTGGTACAGTCACCACCGCATTCCTGCACTGTGGCAGGTGCAAATGGCAAATGGCGTTTCCATGCATTTAGCTGGCCGCAAAAAAGAAAAAAAAAAAACCGAATGCAACACCTTTTGTTTGGCGATCGTGTGCTAATACGCTGTGAAAAAGTGGTTCACCTTCGCTCACCCCTCATGTCTCTTCCGTTAGCTGACACTTTGCAATGCCTTTTTGTTCGGCATTTTGTTTGGCCGGGCTCTTTTCTTTCTTTTTAGCCATCTTTTGGGCTCCAGCCGCTTTTCTGCGGGCGTTAACCGAGGCTGTTTTGTTGTTGACTTTGCGCTCCAGTTGTTGGTCGCGAAAAAAAAAGGGACTGCCGGTGGTCTTGGTATAGTGGTGCTTAAAGGGGTGGCGCAGAGTAAAAGCCAAGCGCCTGTTAGAGAGTGCATATTTGCCTTTGTGGAACTATCATTAAACAAGTGAAGCCACCAGCAGAAAACTGCGGAAAACTACTGCACACGAGCCACCACATAAGGCAGCTCACCTCAATCTACCACACGAAACACATTAAAAGCGAGGCCAAAAGACAAATGCATCCACACAAACAAAGCAACAAAGGAGCTTGGCTTACACTGAGATAAAAACTGTTTACAAATTCTATGCCTAACTATTTGTTTAAATATTTTATCATAATTTCATCATCCAGCCATCTAAGAAGTGTTAAAAATATATTAATATCTTTTAATATACATGAAAAAACTAGGTTTCATAATGCTCTTATTTTTCCCAGTGTAACTGCTGTCTTTTGACTTCTCGCCTGCAGTTTTGTAGCCTTTTTAAGCTTCTAACTACCGATGCTTCAATTGCACCTTCGTTTTTTTGTAACCCACAGAAGCAGCAGTAGTCTCTTCCTTGGCTTAATGTGTTTTACTGCTCCTTTCTCCACGTCCCGGCAACAGCTCAGCATCTCGGTATTCTGGTATCCTGGTATACTAGCTATCGCTTTTAGCCCTTTCATTTCTGCATTTGACACGAGATTTTGCATAGAACGGCGATCCACAGGAACTAACAACACTCGCAGGGCAAACAACCACAAAGGATGCCAAAGCAGCAGCCAAGTGTCGGCCTGTTTGCCCAAAAAATGCCTCGAGGACTGTTAAACCGATGCCTGGCATTGTCATCTCTCTATGATGTGCTCTTTTATTTTCTTCCGTTTGTTTTCCCTTTTTTCTCCCTTCTGGCGCTTGTGGTTTAAGCAATTTAAGGATTTTCTGTTGGGCATTTGAGTGATTTCTGATTGTTGTGTTTTGTGGGTGGACAGCCCGCCTTTCTTTTTCGTTTTGTTTGCTGAGTGAAAATAGATCAGTTTAGGATGGAAAAACCTTAGGGATGTTAGCAAGGATTAGGTTAATTGCTTGAGAGGCAAAAAGAAAGGTAACAAAGTGTTAAGACTCTTAAGCTTTGGCCTCAAGGGAAAGTTATGAAAGCTAAAACCGCAGCACAAGAGAGAAAAATACGTATACGTAATGTTAAGTCAATTTGTTGATTAAATATGAACTTTTTCTTCTTTAAAAGACACATTTTTATATATTTACTCAGAGTATAACATACATCTGCATCAACCTCTATTTTGTTTGTAAATTCATGAACTGGAACTTAACTAGTTTCAGCACTTTATTGGTTGTCAAGCACTTTTGACCCCAAAGGCCACCACAACGGACCTGCTTGCCGCGCATCCCCTTATAAAGAGAAACAACGCTTCAATTTGTCTCAAGTTGTCAGGTCGCGTTGTTGGTGTTTTTTTTTTCTTCTACTATGCACTTTCAACTCATGGCTGCCACTTTTCTCGCCCTGTAACTTTCATCAGCCAACTAGTGCTGGCTGCTCGGTCTTGTCGGTGACTTTGACACCGTTTTCCACTTTTCGTTAGCATGTGAGTGAGCAGGGAAGCCAACCAATCCTTCGGCCCTCCCGTCAGTGCCACGCCTACGTTGACATGGCACTTATTTTCTTATTATTAAGTATACGCTTAGTGGGCCTGCGAGAGGGGAAGATGGCGATGCTGCAGCTGCGGAAGTGCGCCAAGTAATGATTACTTTGTGTCTGCCACTGACAAATGCCGTCAGTCAAAGTCAAACTTGGTGACGAAGGATGCAGGACGCAGGACGCAGGACGGAGGCCAAGACCTCGGCTGGGATGCTAGGTGCTGGGGATGGTGTTGACGACGACTCAATGCGGAAGGAAGTTCAAGCACAAAAGGTGCACCAGTCAATGTAAAGGAGTCGCCGGTCTCCTTCGTTCTTCCCGCTCCTTTGGCCTGTGCATTCATGTGCATCGGCTTTCGATGGGATCAGAGAGGTGAAGCAGTACGTCGACAGTCCATTTCAATGCCCAGAAAGTGAGCTGTAACGCGTCGACGAAAAAGTGCACATTGTCTGTTTTGAAATTCTAATAAGAGAGTTTCACTTTTTCATCTCAACGAATTCATTGTTGAATTTCCAATAAGAGTTTCATGGAGAAGAAATAAAGCTGTGGAACCTTAAGTAAGGTAAAAGGAGAGCGAGGGCTCATAAATAGTAATAGATTCTTTAAGTTAAGAGAAGGAAAAACTTTCATATTTTTAGACCAATTTGATAAGATAAATGAAACGTTTCATGCAAGGTAGCACGATCTTTGCTATCAGCTTGTTTGTCTGGAGATAAAAACATTTGTTTGTCCAAACAAAAAAATTAAACAGTTAAAATCAAGTTTAGGTAGAAAGTATATGTCAAACCCTTTATTGGGAAAAATAATGACCTCCATTTCGAAATGCCATCAACCAGCTGTAATGACATTAAAAGCTCCAGGGGATATCCCGTTCAGATAACCAAAAAATCATTCCACTCTAGGCTCTGGCCGATTGAAGGCCATCCCCACACAAAATTCAATTTCCTATCCACTTAGCCATTGATTACCATGGCCCGAACAGAGCACACCAACGGCTTCCGTCGCCATCCCGTCAAATCCGTCCAAACAACACATAGCCATCGCTGTCTCCACTTCAGTCCTCATCCCCCCAAAAGCGATCCATCTCCTTGTGCTTGGCATTTCCGCTGTCACTCGCTTTAATTACGCCCCCGCACCCCGTTCGACTTTCTGGCCGAGTGACTGGCCAAATCCAGAAATCCTCTATCAATAGATGAAATATGCCCGTCAATGCACTGGCCTCTGGCCATCATCAGTCATGGGCATATTTTGACAGTGGCATTAGTCGGAAGCTTCGAATCCAGTAGTTGGAGGGGTCCCCAGCTAGCTTCGCGTTGATTCTCATTTGCAATCGAAACTTGTCCACGGGTGACAATCAATGTGATACTGACTTTTGGCCAGCAATTCTCCTTTGGGCCATAATCCATTCGAGACGTTCTAGGCTTGGCATTGGCGTTGCCAGCATTCAAATGGCTTTCGGTTAGGCATTTTCTCGCTAACGATGCAAAGTGGCAATCAATATTTCTTTTGTTGCCTTCCCTAATTAATAGCAGATAAAAGTTCTTCTGTGCATATTTGGCCTTTGTATGGCTGTGTTCTGGCATATTTTGGCTTTTTGTAATAAGCCAAAAACTTTTGTATAGCGGCCTCAAATTGGATGTGTCAGTTGCAGTCGATTTGTTAAGTTAATTGGTTAGACCAAGAAAACATCCGCCTAGCTTGCAAATTCAGAGTAATTATCTTTATTTCTGTAGTTGACCGTTCTTTTCTATTTAAAATGTAATATATTTTCTTTAATTAGTGGTACGTAGAGTGGGAAAACCCTTTTGTTTGTTGTGAGCTTTACCATCCATCTGTCTGATGCCTATCAAAGTCTGTAGTGCCAAATATAAAACAATCGGAATTTAATAAACGATATGAAGTGTGTCTGGGAGCTGCGGACTCGTGTCAAAATATAAATAACCGAAGGTTGTAAGACATGGAACGGGAGGTTCGACTTCGGCTTTCTAGATAATTTTCAGCACATTTGATCAATAAAAAATGAAGCAGACTTTTTTTTCATTTTTTTAGTTTGAGAAAAAAAAGCCGCCAACTGCCGAATTTCTTTGGAAATTTGATAAGAAGTAACCTGTGTTTATATTATGACTTTGAAAGTTACTTACTTTTTATTACTAAAAATTTGAGTTTCACGTAAAATTTAAATAGGTTAATTGTATTCTTAAAATTTTACAATTTTATTTACTTTAGAAATAAAAAAAGTGTTAAAAATCCAAATAAACCAACTTGTTAAGAGCATGCATTCACGTGAATGATAAGGTCGAAAGCGATACAGATCTTGCCAATAAATCGGTATCTATTGCAAAATTTCATTAGCCAATTTGTTAATGAGAATTTTTTTGGCAAATTAAAAATTCTGGGCGGTATAAATATTGGGACCAATAGCCTAAAATGATCACAGTACCCTCTCAGTCTGGGAAACGAGAACTTCAACAATCTGCAGACATGAGGAATATTTACGGTAACTGCAAACGCAGGAAAACCAATAGAAGGAGCTAACCGATAACTTTCTTGGTCCCACAGCTTTTGCCTTGCTGCTCCTTGCAGTCTCTGCAAGCACCACCAGCGGTGCCAGCGTTTCCGACCTTCTGTGTCGCAACAAGGCCAACGGCATCCGAGCCCTGGTGCCAGGTAGCTGTTCCAGGTTCTATGAGTGCAGCAACGGTGTTGCTAAGGAATACACCTGTCCCAAATTCTATGACTTTAAGATCCGCAGTTGCGTTAGCTACGACACTGGCTGCATCGAGGGTGTTGTGGTAGAGCCTGTTGCCCAGAGCCAGTCCACCCGGGATACCGCTGAGCCGTGCAATGGGGCTACCACCACTGCACCGCCGTGTACTAAGACCACGACAAAGCCTCCATGCGCTGAAAATCCTACCACCACCACTACCTGTGCCCCTGGAGTGATCACAACGACTACGACTACAACCACTGAGGCTCCAACGACAACTACAACCACTGAGGCTCCCACGACAACTACAACCACAACAACATGTGCTTCAACAACAACAACGACGACTACCACAACAACCACAACCACAACTACAACGACAACCACAACTACAACAACAACCACAACTACAACGACAACCACAACTACAACGACAACCACTACTACATGTGCTCCAACAACAACAACGACAACGACAACTACTACCACTACCACAACAACAACAACTACAACTTCAACGACAACCACAACCACTACGACATGTGCTCCAACAACAACTTCGACTACAACAACAACCACTACCACTACCACTACCACTACTACAACCACAACCACAACCACAACCACAACCACAACCACAACCACAACCACAACCACAACCACAACCACAACCACAACGACATGTGCTCCAACAACAACGACGACTACGACGACAACCACAACAACCACCACCACTACAACTACAACTACCACCACGACCACTACTACAACGACAACTACAACATGCGCTCCAACAACAACTACCACCACCACCACTACCACAACCACCACCACCACCACCACGACTACGACAACCACCACCACTACTACTACGACAACAACTACAACATGTGCTCCAACAACAACCACTACAACAACGACAACGACAACTACTACCACTACCACGACAACTACTACCACTACCACGACAACTACAACCACCACTACTACTACAACAACAACTACCACAACTTGTGCCCCAACAACAACCTCTACTACGACAACCACCACCACCACTACAACTACAACTACCACCACAACCACTACTACAACGACGACTACCACATGTGCCCCAACAACAACGTCTACCACGACAACTACAACCACCACTACTACTACTACAACGACAACTACCACAACCTGTGCCCCAACAACAACCTCTACTACGACAACCACCACCACCACTACAACTACAACTACCACCACAACCACACTAATACTACAACGACGACTACCACATGTGCCCCAACAACAACGTCTACCACGACAACTACAACCACCACTACTACTACTACAACGACAACTACCACAACTTGTGCCCCAACAACAACCTCTACTACGACAACCACCACCACCACTACAACTACAACTACCACCACAACCACTTCTACAACGACAACTACCACATGTGCCCCAACAACAACGTCTACCACGACAACTACAACCACGACTACTACTACTACAACGACAACTACCACAACCTGTGCCCCAACAACAACCTCTACTACGACAACCACTACAACTACAACTACCACCACAACCACTACTACAACGACGACTACCACATGTGCCCCAACAACAACGTCTACCACGACAACTACAACCACCACTACTACTACTACAACGACAACTACCACAACCTGTGCCCCAACAACAACCTCTACTACGACAACCACCACCACCACTACAACTACAACTACCACCACAACCACTACTACAACGACGACTACCACATGTGCCCCAACAACAACGTCTACCACGACAACTACAACCACCACTACTACTACTACAACGACAACTACCACAACTTGTGCCCCAACAACAACCTCTACTACGACAACCACCACTACTACTACTACGACAACTACAACATGTGCTCCAACCACTACAAGCACTACCACCACCACTACCACAACAACAACTACAACATGCGCCCCAACAAAAACAACTACCACGACTACTTGCGCACCAACTACAACTACAACGGCTTGCGGAGAAACAACTACAACCACAACGGCTTGCGGAGAAACAACTACAACAGTCTGCCCCACAGCCGCTAAGGCCGTGGCTGCCACTCAATCGAAACGTAATCCCGTCCGTCGCAACCCCGTCCACCGTCTCCTTTGGGAAGTGGCTCAATGGGCTGGTATTTCCTCCGCCAGCTCCGCTAGCTCCGAGACTCAGATTAAGGTTTCTTGCTACGGCAAGCCCGACGGATTCCTGATGGCATCCCCCGAGCGCTGCAATGACTACTACATCTGTCGTCACCAGCGCGCCTTGAAGGTCAGCTGCGGTGATAGATACTTCAACGGACTGAAGGGCATCTGCGATCTTCCCGAAAACACCAGTTGTGTTCAATCCTAAGTGATAGATCCCCATTTGGCTGACACTCAATATCATCATGGAAATGTGACAAGAAACAATGGATCGAAAATTTTAATTAATTAGAAAACAGCACTATTTGAACATGCACTTCAAAAAAAGCAAAGGCTTATAAAAAGCTATATGAAAAAATGATCTATCTTTTATTTTATGGGGCTTAAAAGATATAAATTTGGAAATATTTTCAAATTAACATTATGAAAAGCTATCTACAGTAGCTGTTTTTCGTTTGTTCTTTGATAAAGCTTAACATTCTTCAACTTTACAGATAAATATTTATTCATTAAACTTAATTTAATCTAAAATAAGTACATATATGTATAATATTTCCTAATTTCTTTTTATTTTTGAATATTTTTATTGCAGCATCACAGCCTCACGTTGATCCCCCTAACATCCAGAATTCCGAGCAAAGCGCACAAAAACCATTTGAAAAATCCTCACGCACAATGAAAAACGACGTCGTGCGATGGAGCAGGCAGCCAACTAGCAACATTAACATCAGCAGCAGTAGCAGCATCAGCGGAAGCAGCAGCAACAGTCGAAGCGGCAGCAGCAATATCAGCCACAAACACAGAAGCAAAAGCAACAAATTAAATGCTCGACAATTAGGGCCACATGCTGCCAGAAGTTGTCAGCAGAGAGAAGGAGATGTCGAAGGAGAAGAACAACAACAACAGCAACAAACAATCATTGAATGTGATATAGGAAATTTCAATTTCGATTGCAATTTATTCAAAACTAGTTTTTTAACGCAATACAAACCGAAACTTAGTGGCAAGATAAACTGCAACAGCAACAGCAACCGAAACAGAAGCAAATGCAACCACAGCAGCAGCAGAATCAGCAGCAGACACTTGGCGAAAACGAAATCAGTGTTGCTGTTAGCTCTGCAATTTAGTGCCGTAGTTTTTTTATGTAATTTTAATGTCGGTTTCGTGGCCGGAAGTGTGGCATCATCGGCGGCGGCGGCAACATCATCAGCAAGCGGCTCATCACCGCCAGCGCCTGCATCCCCGCCCTCAGCTGCTGCACCACCATCGCCGCCATCACCACCGTCATCACCACTTAAAGTGGATCCAAATGGCCAATCGCCAGTGCTGCCGCCCTACATTCTCGACTATGAGACGGGCGGACGGGTCAAGTTAACGCCAAACAGTGGAAAGTATGGCCAATCGGGCAGTTCCGGTAGTAACAACCAAATCGTTGGACACTATACACACACCTGGGCGGTGCACATACCGAACGGCGATAATGGCATGGCCGATGCTGTAGCCAAGGATCACGGTTTCGTCAATTTGGGCAAGGTAAGAGAGATTTTTCAGCTAAATATACTTTAGTTTATATATTTTATCTGGGAAACATAGAGAGAATCCTTATCCGGGTCACATTCTGAGTCCCGGTTGCTTCATTTGTCAAAGAAGTTCTGGCCAACACCTAAAGCAATATCCAGTGAGACTCGTTAGCCAGTTTAGCATATGATTAGAACACTCAAATGTGAGACTATTAAAAGTTTGTGGCACAGGAGAGAAGTTTCTCGTTATGGAAAGAAGCACTTGGCTCTGGGGGTAAACTCCATATCAGTTGATATGGAACAGCACTGGACAAAGTTTCTCCTGTTGAAATCAGTTCTGTTTTCCCTTCTTGCATCCTCTGCATTCCTATGCTTTTCAGCTTTGCTTGGTTTGCCTGTCAGTCACGGAAAACATTGTCCGGGGGGTGGTAAGTGGGTGCAGAAATGCGGGCACAGGTGTTGCCGTTGGACAAGTTTAATCTGAAAGCATTTCGACCATGTACTTTCAACTGCTACTTTGATACACACACCTTCGGCAACGGCTTCAGCATCTCCGATTTCTGCACTCCGCTCACTTTCCCGGGACAGACGCGAACCCGCTAAGTGACTGTCAAGTTATCCTGGCAATGGGAATGGCCAGCACAAATGGAGCTCAAATCGCCTTGTAATGGCATCGTTTGCGATAAAACAAGGCAGCTGGTAGATAGATGTGGGGCGGTGGTAGAATTGCCCCTAAGTATGGATTTACAGATGCTTTGCTGGGAAAACTACACTAAAAGAAATGAATTGTAAGTGGTTCTTGAAAGATGAACTTTAAATATTCCTGATAGAATGGTAGATATTTATTAAAGAAATTCTATTTAATTATAGAATGTTTTTATTTTCCAATATTTTTACACCATTCTTCTCGAAAAGTGTATCACAACAACTATCTGGCAACCATCTACCATCCTATGGGGCATTTGAAAGTAAAATGCATTTCAAACAGTTATTTTTGCGGCTGCCAAGGGTTAAGTCCTGCTCCCGCTGTCTGAGCTCCAAATGGATCCCGGCATTTGGGTTTTCAATTGAGGAGCAGACCGGCACGCAGGTGCCTGATGTAAAAAGCCCCAGCCACGAAAAGCTCAACTGTGTCGATTTCCATTATACGGTTCCCCTTTGTCAGGAGAAATGGATTGGATGGGTGGCTCTGCCAGTGGCGACTTAAGTAGCCTTCGCCGTGTCGATGGAAATTAGTATCACTCACAATACCGCACGTACTCTTTCGACCATTGACTTAATTGCCAGAAACAAAAAGCGGAAAATTCAATTTATGAAGGCGGTGCTCAGGACGAAACTTTTGTTAGCACTCCGAACTAGTGGAAACGGACGAGAGCGTAAGACTCTGGCGTAAAAACGGCAGATGGCCGGACTTTGGGGGCCGCGAAAGTTAATTGAAAATTAATTTTAAATGGCATTGTTAAAATGAATCCAACTTAAGGCCAACCTGAATGGGAACAGACACCAGCGACCGACTCTCTGCAAATGAAATGTGCCGTTTTGCATAATTAGATGACGCCCGCCGAAATGGCTGTAAAACTGTAATGAACTGAGCGCCAAGCGGAAGTGGAAATGAATCTTAGACCTTCTGCCTTACTTACCTTTATTAATTGCCAACTTGATTGCTGGGAAATGAAAAACGAAGAAGTAGTTAAGGAAATTACTAGAGAAATTTAAACTGTTTGCTTGGGCTTAAGATAGAAAGATAGAATTTCGTCAAGAAACTTAAAACTTTATGAGACATTTGATGTATTTCCTCTTAAATCATTTATAACTTTCCTCTTTTGAAGCCTTGTTTTGGGTTATATTTCAAACACATAACTTAGAAAGTGATTTTCTTGTTCTTAGTTCTCACCTGTACAATTGAAATGAAATGCTTTGGTAACCCCTTCAACCTGAACCTTGTTACGCTTTGCTTCATCCAACACGAACTTCCAACAACGCCCCCGTTGATCTTTCACCCCCGATTCCGAAAACATTTGAAACATAACTCGTCGAAAAGTGTTGCCAAACATTTCGCACTTGTTCGTGTTGCTGCTTTTCCCCTTTCTGTTTTTCATGTTGTAATTTTTTGTGGGTGAGAACAGCAGGGGCAACAGCAACAACAACTAAATTGAAACTAAAAACTAAACTCGCTGAGCAAACAAGTTACAAGTGCCAAAAAGCAGTAGCAGCATCAACCTAGGAGCAAAAACAATTAATAAAACCATAAAGATGAAGTAGTAGGACGCGAGACTTTTTGCCATTTGCTGCTGTACAACAGTCAGAATTTTGCGATTTTAAGTTGAAACAACCAGGGTCGTCGTGATGTTTGTTTTCCTGAAGGAGGAGGATCACACCAGCATTGCAGGGCACATCAACAAATTCGGTGTGTCAGAAGTTTTAATGAAAACGATGCTCTCTCTCTCTCTTTCTCTCTCTCTCTCTCTATAGATATATATATAATTTATATACATATAGCCCTTCTTGTTCTAGCCAGCCAGTTCCTTGGTTTTGGCCCATCAAGTTTTCAGCGTTGGAAACTTTTTGGCACCGAAATTATGATGATAAAATAGACAAAATAAAGTTTTCTGGACAACGGCAGTTGGCGAGAGATATTCGGAGACAAGGAAAGTGCGAAATTGTAAAGGAATGCTTATTAACTGCACTTTTAATTTCGTTTTCCTTTCGGTGCCAAGCGCAGGAATTTTGGTAAATATAAGAGGAATTTAGGGACAAATTCTAGGAGCTTCTGTGGATTTTTGTAGATTTTTAATTAGTTAAGATACCATTTCCTTATTAATATTTAATCTTTCAGGTTTTTCATTATAATTTTTCAATTATTTTTTTTTCATTTTTAACTGCACTTTCATATTTGATTGCCTTTTTTGATAATCAAGAAGGCTTTCCATTAAAAAGGGAAAAAAATTTGAGAACTTATTTAGAAGGTTCCTGCTTGCTGGTCCTTTACCTTTTTTTCCTCTGCTGTTTGTCATTTGCTTATCTGACTTTAGTCTTCCGGTCCCGCCTCCTTTCTCCGCATTTCTCCCACTATTGTTCGACTTTTGTATAGCGTCATTTACATAACACTCACTCTTTGTCCTGCCGCTGCATCTGTTTGGGTTCCTTCTTGGTCCTTCTTAAGCTCCTATTGTCTTCCTTTGGTCTTCCTCTGGGCAGCTGCTGATAAATGTTATCCCTCGGCCTCGGCCACTCATCAATTTAATTGGAAAGCAAGGAAGCGGGCAAAAAGCCTTCCTCGCCACCGAAATAATTTGCCTTTTTTCGTGCTGATTTTTTTTTGTTTTTTAATTAATTTGCCACTTTCTTGAGGCAGGCGGGTCAATTGAATTATTGATCGATCGACAGATTGATTGATTTTGTGGCTGCCTGCGGCACGCGATTGCATTGCGCGCTTATTGCATTCACGTAATTAAAATCACAGCCAGCCCGGCGAATGTCCTTTGATGAGGACATTCATTTTCCACCTGGAAGCTCTCTCTTTGCACTTAATTCTGTACTGCAGGGGCCATCTTTGACAAAGGTCAACGGCTTATTAATAAGGGTCTGTTGGGAATCCGAGTCCGGGTCAGGCGTATCTTGTTGACCTCAAACTGAAATGGAGGCTGACCCTTTTTTTCTTACTTTGATTATTTTCTGTCTCAAGGGAAACTTCAGCAGAAAAGGTAAAGTTTTCAATAAGGCTTAATTGGTTAACAATTTGACAAGATGTCGGGCACTAAGGTGACACTCTTGGGCCTAAGCTCGGCTTAAAAAATTCAACATTTTTATTAATTAGTTCTTAGTAATATATAACCTTTATTTTAGGTACCTTGGGGACTTATAAGGGGTCTCTCAATATTTCAAGTCGCATTAAAAAGAGTTTAAACTACAAACTTATATATCACCTTCAGTACTTAAACAGCTTAAGGAAAAAACCCATACTGGGTTGTCATTTTTTGCCAAATTGCATATATAAATTAAATCAGTGTTGGGTTAAGCAGTTTAACCCCAGCTTTAACCCCAGTTGACAAATTTTCGAAATATATTTTTGCACTTTTGCATGTCGGAAAGTTTGCCAACGAAAGTTAAATATTGTAGGTGTCTATGTCAGTGTGTTTGTCTATGTACACATTTGTACTTATGTGCCAGTGTGTGTGTGAGTGCGGATATGTATATGTGTGCTGGCGTGTCCTTTGTTCGGATTTCGCGTGGCTGCCAGGCGGATATCGTTGATAAATTTTAAGTCAAAAACTCGGAAAATATTTATGACTTAACTTTTGTTTAGTAACAAAGCAACACGCAGGCTCTTTCGGTATCTCAGTATGCTTGCAGCCCCCTCCTGCCCCTCTGGCAGGATATCACAATTGTCACAAAACTTGGATCCCTATGCAAATGGCAGAGGAAAGATGGAAAGCGGGGCGGGGGATTCGCCTTTAGCTTGTTTTTGAGAACTTGTACAACTTTAATCACATGACATGGGGAATACCAGAAGTTTACATAATTTTCTGCTTTTTCGTCATTGATCCTTGGAGAAAGTTTTTCGGGTGCAATACGCCTGCAGCTGACAGCGGAAGCAGGAGGGATATTGACATGGAGTCCTTTTCCTAATTGAATATGTAAAACCAAAATGCGATTGAGTGTGAAATGAGTGAGTCGACCGACTGCCAATCCAACCAACTGCCTTTATGTACTCCCACATCCTAGGAAAGTTTCTCAAACGTTCAATTGAACAGACAAGTTTCTGGGTAACATATTTTATTCAACTTCTCGTTCTTTTTTTTTTTTATTTCTCCAGCATCGAGTAAAATTAAGTTTACTGCTTTTGTGCCGCAAATGAATCAATGATGGAAATAGTGTGGAATTTACCCGTGTGTGTGCTTCTGGGAAAACTTTTTGTGCATTTGCCAATACTGCAGAAAAGTTCGAATGAACCTAATAAATATTTCGCAATTCATTGCCAACTTTTTCGCCCAAAATTTGCATCCCGAAATC